TGAATTCTGAAACACTGGCAGTTCCCAGGCACTATCTTCAGAGCTATGCTGACACTATCATGTTGGTGTAGAAAGCCATGCTTGTTTTAAACTCATTTAGACACAGAGGAAATTAGCTAGAGAGTGCCAGAAGAGAAAGGGGGAGGAAATCAAGTTATTGCTATCAAAGAGAAAGAATGCTAAAAGTTCTAAGTAAAATCAGAGGCCTTTTTCTGTCAGTTGCAAGTACTAGATGAAAAGTACAAATTTCAATGAAAGGCAAATATTTGACCAGGCACAGTGGCTCATGCCTGTAATCCCAGCATTTTGGGAGGCCGAGGCAGGTGGATCACCTGAGTCCAGGAGTTCAAGACCAGCCTGGCCAAGATGGCGAAACCCCATCTCTACTAAAAATGCTAAAATTAGCCAGGTGTGGTGGCGGGCACCTGTAATCCCAGCTACTCAGGAGTCTGAGGCAGGAGAATCACTTGAACCTGGGAGGCGGAGGTTGCAGTGAGCTGAGATTGTGCCATTGCAACTCCAGCCTGGGCAACAGAGCAAGACTCCATCTCAAAAAACTAAATAAAAATAAATTAAATTAAACTAAAAAGAAAGAAAAGCAAATACTCTCTCTCTTCTTGATGTGCTTACCGGTAGTTTAATCCTATGTAAGCTCCAACTGGCCCCAGTGCACCTGCCTCAATGCAATGAAACCTTTCCAATAAGCTGAACTACTGAATTAATGTAGCAAAGAGTCTAATACAGTTTTGCTTTGAAAAATGATTGCCCTCTAAGTGCAATGTGGGACTTTGGATTGGATTCTGAAACAGGAAAAAGACATTATAGGAAAAAATTAGGCTGGTAAATTCTCTTAAGCTCATGGTTTAGTTAAAAGTGTAGCAGTGTATACTTCTTAATGGGTGTAAGGTACCATGGATATGTAACACTATAGGGAAAGTTGGGTGATAGGAAATGGGAACTCCTCTGTCTTACCTTTACAACTGCCTCTATAAATCTAAAATTAATTTTATAAATAAAAGTTTGCTGCGGCAGTGCTCATACACATAATTCATGCACTTTGGGAGACCGAGGTGGATGGATCGCTTGAGGCTTCAGGAGTCCTGAGGCCAGCCTGGGAAACATAGCGAGACCCTGTCTCTACTGAAAAAAAAAAAGAAATAGCCGGATGGTGGTGCATCCTGTATCTAGCTACTCCAGAGGCCGAGGTGGGAAATCGCTGAGTCTGGGAGTTTATAAGGTCAAGTAGGCTGAATTGCAGCACTGTGCACTCCCAGCCTGCACAGAGCAGACCCTGAGCCTCGAGAAAAAAAAAAAGTTGAATGAAATGATGCCTACTTTGTTGATTTGACTTGATCTTGAAAAAGCAGATACAGAAAGGAGATCTCTGCTTCTGGGTGTGTCCTCATTTGCAGCTTTCCCTAGACCACAAGGCTGGCAACGGGACAGCGTAGCCCGGGAGGAGAACGCTGCTATGCTAAAGTAAGGTGGCTTGGCAAGCAAGTTGTTTCTGGCTGCACTATGTCTCCTTTGATTAACTAGGCAGAAAAGCAGAAGCCTAAAAAAACAGAACGAGCTCAGACAAAAGCAGGCTGGGCCTGTCACCTATATTAGTCATTTGCTCTCTGGAAAAGAGTGACTCTACATTTTTCCAGACTTGTCCTTGATTCACTGTACATTTTTTTTGTTACCATTAAGGATGAGAGATTTACTCCTGCTCATTCAAAAGGATAATATCAAGAGCTAGCAAAACACACACACACACACACACACAGAATTAGCAACAGAATTCCAGCTTTCAGATAATTCAAAAGGATAATATCATTCAAAAGGATAATATCAAGAGTTAGCAAAACAGAAACACACACACACATGCACACACATACACAGAAACAGATATAGCAACGGAATTCCAGCTTTCAGATACCTTTCCTTAGGTTTAGAACATTTACTTAATTATCTTTTAAACAAATGTTTCTATGTGTATTCAATATTAGAAATTTATCGGCCTGGCACGGTGGCTCACACCTGTAATCCAAGCATTCTGGGACGACAAGGCAGGTGGACTGATTGAGCTCAGGAGTTTGAGACCAGCCTGTACCACATACTGAGACCTCGTCTCTACAAAAAATACAAAAATTAGCCAGGCGTGGTGGCACGTGCCTGTAATCTCAGCTACTTGGGGGGCTGAGGTGGGAGGGTTGTTTAAGCCTGGGAGGTCAAGGCGTAAATCACAGCTGCAGTGAGCTGTGATTGGGCCACTGCACTCCAGCTTGGGTAGCAAAGGGAGACCTTGTCTCAAAAATAAAATAAAATGGCCTAAAAAGTTGCTTTCACTAGATAAGGAATGTTGAAATTACATTTCTTAGACTAGTTCTTATAGTTGGCCTGGTGCAGTGGCTCATGCCTGTAATCCCAGCACTTTGGGAGGCCGAGGTGGATGGAACACTAGGTCAGGAGATCGAGACCATCCTGGCTAACATGGTGAAACCTCGATCTCTCTAAAATACAAAAATTAGCTGAGCGTTGGTGGCAGAGCTTTTCATGACGGCTGAGGCAGGAGAATCGCTTGAACCCGGGAGGCAGAGGTTGCAGTGGAGCTGAGATCCCGGCCCTACGCACCCCAGCTTGGTGACCAAGAGCAAGACCTGTCTCAAAAAAAAAAAAAATAAAAAAAATTCTTATAGTTAAGCATCATACCTTACATTTTATAATTTTTCTCCCGAACACAAAAATATCTGCTTTGAGAAAATATATATAAGGCCTCTGCGGTTATTTCTTTTGCAGAGTCAGTTTAAAATATTACATTTTCCTAGACACAATAGTTTCCAAGCACAAAGATCAAAAGCTCCCTTGGGGTTCTTGAAGGATTGGAGGACAGAAAAGACAGACGCAGCGTGAACTGACTGCTGTTTGAACTTGAGTCACTCAGTGCTTCTGCATGCCAGTTTCACTAGTTCAGACCAGTATTCCAGAAACCTCGGTTCAGAGGTGCTGAGAGATTAGTGAGAAGCTCTGGTAAGATGCTCAGAATTCTTAGGGAGAAGGTAGACTTTTTTATTTAAATAAGAAAACAAATTATTTCTTGCCATGCAAGCAATAAAGAAATTCAATCAGATTAGCAGATACAAGATGACTTTTTTTTTTTTTTTTTTTTTTGAGAGACAGGTTTCACTGTGTTGGCCCGGCTGGTCTCAACCACCTGACTCAAGTTATCCACCTGCTCGGCTCCAAAGTGCTGGGATTAGAAGGATGAGCCACCTCACCTGGCTCAAAGATGAGTTTTTAACAAAGTGTGGCTGGATACACTGGGCCTTTATCGTCTAAGCATAGGGAGGAGATCCTTAGAGCGTAGAATCCGACACAAGTTGGATTTTACTTTTGTAACAGAGCACTCTGGACTGCTATGGTAACGAAGAGTCTGAAGGTGGACGTGGGAGGCGTGGAATGCAGGGGAACGCAGTTAGGGGTGACCCAAAACTCAGGAAAGAAATGTGGGCCTGGCCCAAGTTGACAGCACGGCGGGTGATGGGAGGTGGCCGGGATGCGCAAATGATTTGATGGTGTACCTCCAAAGAGATCTGGGAGAGGTTGGAGAGAAGGAAGGGGTCAGGGCGGACACCAGCGCTCTTTTGTTCTGAGGCAATAGGGAAGGATGCGAGTTGTAAAAAATGGAGGTGGGGAAAGATCAGAGGGAGGGCCAGGCCGCGCGGGAAATAGGACACATCAAGCAGGATGGTCTGGATCCAGTCTGGACGCTGGGAGAAGGCGTCCAGACACCTGCGGCC